TTTCTTCCGGCCTGCTTTTGAAGGGAAACCTTTGCCCCTGGAGGTGTTGCCAAAACTCCAAAGAAAACGGAACAGCAACACTCTCTCTCTCTCTCTCTCGCTCTCTCTCTCTCTCTCCCTCCCTCCCGCAACATGATGCCCCTGCCAACTGAGCACCTCTAGCCCAAGTCCAAGATCCAAGCTGGGCATCCATTGGATCTTCACTCCGGGCTCATGAAACGTCTGATGTTGCAACAACCAAAAAAACTAGTTTCGTCCTCAAAATCCCCAGATCTTCCCAGGCGCCAACCACGAAGCCGAACTTCTTGTAGTCGTCCAGGCTCTGCTTGGGCCCCGTGCAGCTCCCAGCGTCGAAGTGGCACAAGGGTGCGAACTTCCAGCCGTGCTGCAGCAGTTCCGGGGTGGGCTTCACCGTCACCTTGTAGCCTCAAATGTGGGTCTTTGGGTAAAAACCGCGTCGCCCATCCCTCCCTCCCCAAGAAGGTTCTTCTTTGTAGGGGGGGGGGCTTAGCGGGTTCTGAGTGGTGGGCCAGGGTCGCACAAGCCCCGCTCCCTACCCGAAACGACACCTTCCAATACGGGGCAATTCGGCGGTTTGGAGCTCCAGCAACTCGAGGAGACCCGTGCGGCTGGCCGCTTCATTCGAGCACCGATAAACCGACAGTGGGTTTTTCAAGCCAACAGGTGGGGCGTGGCAAACACATTTAATACTCCTTGAGGATGATAAGCCCAACTCAAAAAAAGGGAGCTACAAAAAAACACCTGAACAAAGGGTGGCTCATATCTGCAAGGCACCTGCGAGCAAGCCTGTTCTTTGAAATGTCGGCAGTGTCTCAATAGGTTTGCCCCCCAAATGGTCCAATTGCTTTTGCAAACATCGCTTGGAAAGGGCCTTGATATGCCTTGATCGTGACACGTTGCTGACCTGCAACGGGCCAGCATAGATCGTGATCAACTCATGGCCATTGAAAAAAGAAAGGATGTTTGACAGGATCATCGGGTGTAAACTCCCATTCGCGCATGGACTCTGGAACTTTGCAGACCTTTCGCCTTCAAAAACCAACCTCAACGCAACACCTTCGAATGCCCAATCTGTGCAGTTGTCTGGCAGTTGGCCCTGATCCGTCAGTTTTTTGAAGCGAACTGAAACACTCTTTTTTAGATGTTCCATGTTTTGTGACCCCCCCAAAAAAAACGTCAAAAGTCCCAGACTTTCTGTTCACCGCCCAGCTGCGAAGAACCCGGGTGATGCCGAACTTGCGGGGGCAGTGTCCCACCACCTCGCTGTGCAAGTACCAGAGCACACCTGCCAAACGCAATCATCGGCGTCTACGCAGTCATCTGACTAAAACTCCACCCGTGCTTGCTTACAAAACCCACATCTGCCCTGAAAAGGCATTGGTGCGAACCTGGAACCAAAATTGTTATCTACCTCACAACCGAACCCAAAGCCAACAGTTCTAACGGGTACGCGTGGGCGTCAATGAGTATGCTGGAGATGAGCGGTGGCGGGCCAACTGGGTGAGCAAACCACCTATGAGCCGCTACTGGCCACGTGGGTTCCGCATGGCTCTGCTTGGGTGCTCTGTTTCTGTGGAGGCTTCACCGAAGCAAAACTCATGCCTGAGCTATCGCCAAAGCGCTGCAGGTGACCGGACTTCGACCGGCAAATCCCGTACCCCAAGAGTTTTCCTTAAAAAAAAAAGCAGTTGGCGGCTTGTCCTTGAAACACTCAAACTTCCTGACTTTTCATTGCAACGAGCGCTGCCTTCATACAAGCCGAGTTTCAATTTTCAACGCCCAACCAAAACCCACTGCGCTTGCCTGCCAAGTTTGCCATGTTGACACTCGTGTCCTCGTAGGGTTTGTCGTTCTTGGCCCGGTACACCTCGCACAACAGAAATCTCATCTTGGGGCAGGGCCTTGGGCTCTACCAGGCATTTGCCAAGCTACAAGGGCTCCGTTGGATCTGACTTGCCTAAATGGACACAGGATGACACAGGAAAGCTAAATGCGGCAAAACAATAAAGGTCAAGTAAAATAGTTTGTTTTCGGCCGCTGAGCAATTGCTGGGGCTTGCTGGGACGCAGCTGTTTGGGACCTGCCCCAGGTTCAGTCCACTTTCCGCGAATCCCGATTTCCTGCTCACAAACACCCCAGCCCAAGCCAGCCAATTCCTGTCCCTAGTTGAGCCCGCCATGCCCAGTCCACCTGACTGCTCGGCATCATTTGTCAAATGGGGTATGTGTTGTCTCACTGCGTGCTACCTCACCGGGGCTTCCCCCATGCGTTTGGGAGCTGCAAAAAGCTGCAGTGTTCTTTCTCTTGAACTGCAGATATGATCCTGTCTGGACCTGCGCAAACTGACAGCTTGATATCTTAAGGCTTCCCCATAGACTGCCTTTTGGGTGTCGCAGCTAAAGTGACACCCTCAAATGGAAAATTGCAAACGTTGGAACAGCGTTTGTTCTCAGTTTGTGGTGCCGTAGCTGCCCGCGCCTCCTTTTGAGTCTGGTTACTTGGCAGTGTGTGGCTGCTGCGCGTGAGGCCAGTGGCAGCCTTTTCTTTTCATTTTTCGAAAAAGGTCCTGCTGTGACCGTTGCCAATTGGTGGAAAACTAGCAGTTGATGGCATGAAAAGAGCAGCCTTTTGCAGCTTTTAGCAGTCCTTGAAAAGGGCAACATTTAACGAGGCACCATACAGTGAGGCATGTGCTAGTTTCAAATGAGTTTGCTCAAGCCCGCATTGCTCCAGAGCCTGGCTGAGGCAGCGCAGTGCGCAGCGATTACAATTAAACTGAGTGTTAAATTGGAGGTCTGGCAAACTAAAGAAATTATTCACCCCCTTTTTGTGCAAGTTGCAAATTCTGGTCTATACATTTGGCGTCCGCGAAACGGGCGAGAACTGTTTCGAGCTGGCTGGCAAAACATCGGGACACCGCTTTTGTTCTTTTTTCCTCATGCCAGGACGCATAGAAGGTGTAGGCGCCGTCTGTCTCATTGGACTGCTCGAAGACCTCCTCCTCCACGCCCTCAAGATCCCAGTCATCCAGCTCCAATGCGGACACCTGATCGCCACCTCACGCGCATTCGATTCGCGCGTGCCCTGAAAGGCTCGGAAGGTGGGGGGTTCAGGAGCCATATTTCCTTACCATTTAGTCAGTGCCAAGAGGGGAAAACGGATGCCACTGAAGAACCGCAGAGTGCAGCCAAAAGTCGCCCATACTCCATGGACTCCACTGACATTGCAGGTTCAGATTGCTTTGGGCGGGAAACTGAATTTGCAGGGGGCTGGGATGGCAAACATATGGTATTCAGCATGCCGCAATACTTTTCACTACCAAAGGGAACCCTCATGAGTACCCTCATTCTGAGCTCGCCAAAGCTGGGACATACTGAGACCTCAGAACATCAGTGGTATTTCTGCGTGAGAATTCGACTGCTTCCCACTGCCGAGCAGCGCAGCTGTCTCAAGGAGAGCCCTTCATCAACCTCGCAGTCGTCGTCCAATTCCGTAGCAACGGCGACGGCCGCAAGGAGCAGGGGCAAGAAGGAAAAGCGCTTCATGGCAAATTAGATGGCCAAAGCTACGTCAGCCAAAGTGCTGGCAGACATCCCCGTGCTCAAAATGAAGATTGCGAATCGTCACGCACGGTGCCACGTATCATCCAAGCGTATATGGGAAATTGTGAATGGCCTAGCCGTAGTGGCAACTAAGTCAACAAGGGATGCAAATGAACCGAATAATAGGATATGCAAGGACCAATGGCCCGTTGACGAGGGCCCATTTGACCGTTCCCGTAAAAACACACGCAAACAGAAAGAGTCGCAATACAAACATGATGCAGGACACACACACACAGTCATGGAATGGAATGACATTGCTGCAGAAGTCATACTGATGACCACCGCCCCTTCCGCTCTCATCATGTTTGTTGCTGGGACTGGCGAGTTTGTCACACCTTGATCTTCGAAACAATCCAATGGCCCATAAGATATTTGCAGTTTCCGGCTAGCCAAAAGATGAACCAGTCTTGCCAGGGTATCTGCAATGTCGTGTTAACATCTTGGGGAGCTTCAATCGAGGGGTTCGGGGCTTAGTGAGTGCCAAGATTGGATCAACAAATTTTGTTTGGCCAATCAAGAACCATTGGCCGGTAGGCCAGCAAAATGGGCGTCTTGAAAAAAAGAGGGCTGCTCATCAGTAGCAACATTCACAAACAACATCCAACAACTCAGGTCTCGACGCGCCCATGACTGGAATGAAGACCATCCCAGCCACACACCATCACACACTGGTGGGCCCTGGACTCCAAAAACACCACAAGCGTCGCGGAAAGCGGGGAACTCGGACAGTAGGATGCCCTAACCACCAATGCAAACAAAGCACACCGTGTAGCGATCACAGCCAAAACCTTCAACCATGTTTGCCAAAGCATGTGGTTCACGGGCCCCTGCATTCCCCACCCAAACGCTGCACAATTTTAGGCCTTTTGGTGCAGTTCTGGAACTGCTAGGCTTGAGCCTTCCAAAAAGGAAACAACATACACCCTCCGACATCGAGACGCTGGACGTGTTTTCTCTCAAAGGGTTCCAGGTTGGAGGGTCTGGAATTGGTTGGCAACCAGGGATGGTTCAAGCCCCACCCACCCACCCACCCACCCACCCACCCACCCACCCACCACAACAGTTCTTAAAGAATCCTAAGAACACATGAGCGTGCCGATTCTTGACTAATCACCGCCCCCGGTTATCAATCAGGGGTTTGTCTCCTGGAAGAAAGCAAACCCCCACTAAAACAAGCGTGGGGGGGAGGGGTGATTCATCAGGACTCAACATGAAGCTTGGTTGCTGTTGACCCCTCTGCAGAAAGTTTAACTGTTGGTGGGGTCAATGGAAAGCCCTTGAGTTCAACCAAACAGTTAAAGTCTAAAGATCCAACCCAATAGAAGGAAGGACCGACAAAAAGTCTCTCAACCTGGCCATAAGCTTGCAAGTCTCTGCAGCGGATGCGTCGTCTGCCAGCGGCTCTGGCGCTACCACCTTCAGAAAAAGCAGCCTCAGATCTGTCAGGGTGCTGTTTGGGTATGTTTTTTACTGCATCCCAAATAAATCCTTGGAGTAGGGTTTGATGGTTTGGGTGTGGAAACGTCTAACAAGCTTGGGCTCCGACATCATGCGAAGAATCAAGAGGGCGGTCTGCGCCGCACATATAGCTGGGACTGAAGGTTACCTGGGTTTTGACTGTTGCTCAAGTTTCAGTGCGCCGCTTGGGAGGTTAGCAACCCCCGAAGAAATGCGGATTCGCGCCACCATACATACACAAACCCAAACCAGCTTGACACCGAACAGTTATAGAGGTTTCTGCAAACAATTTGAGAAACATCGCACATGCCGGGATATCGAACATGTCCATTTCCTGCGGCCATTCAGGGTAATTTTTGAGGGTGGGGCAAAATGAGCCTTTGGCTGCATGGGTCAAAAACATGAAACCGCCAGCAAAGGCTCAGAAGGCATGGGGAGCCCACCAGCCAAAATGCCGCCCCAAGTGATGGCTTTCTGATATAGTTTTTGTTGGCAACCCCAAAAGGGTCCCTCAAAAAAAGACTCCCCCCCCCAAATGGGAGCAACTATCGCCAAACCAGCAGGGCCTGCTCACAAGGCTGGAGGGATGCGCCAGCTTCCTTTAAACACACAGCCGAGGTTCTCAAAATGGGATGCGGACCCCTTCCGGCGCTGTTGGGTATTCCAAGGGAAGGAATCGGACACCGCGGCCGTTTCAGGGGACCTTTGTTTGAGAAACCCCCACATGCTCGCACTCGGGCCAGTATTTCCCCGCACCCCCCCCCCCCCCAACGCTCGCAGCTGCCTGTAAGTTTTCAAACCAATTGTCAAGCAACGGTGTCGGAGTCACAAAAAGCTACCACAACAGGTCAGCGTCGTGCAACAAATATTGGAGCTGAGCTGTTGGGCATGTCGTTGCCAAGTCCAAGCCGCCGTTCCTCGCCATCGCCTTTGCAAAGCACATCCGACACAGTTGCACCGCTGAAGCCCATGGTCCGCTCGTTCTGAAAGGCGACAGACCTCAGAGATCGTCACTGAGCTCGCACAAGGCTTGTGTTACATGTGACTATGTTATGCCTGCTCACATGGACCTTGCATACTATCGAGTGGGCCATCTGTTTATCACTTCTGTTCATGACAGCTTGACAAAGTTGGTTCTGAAAGTAGATGCACATCACCAACCCCCCCAACCAAAAACAAAACAAAACACACCAGCAGTGTTCACCGGTCCGCTCCCTGAGCCAGGCGGGGCCCGGGGCGGGAAGCCACAAAGTCTATGACTTTGGAACTGTGGACATCTACGCTGTATGAAGCCCAGCTGAACACTGGATTTTACCACCACCGGGCGGCTATGAGTTTTAATGGTTGGAACCCCCTCAAAAGTGGTTGGTGGACATAAACCCCCACCGAAATGAGGTCCATGACAGGGCCCCCCAGCATAATTCACCCCAAGGGGTCACGATTTTGATGGGTTCTGCGGGGCATCAGCGTCACCAATCCCAACTCTTACATCACTACGTCAGAGGTCGGATGTATCGTCATCTATCTTCCCGACCCGTTCCTTGTCTTCAACACTCCAGCGAATCAGGAACAGGTTTCCTCCACCCTGGCCCCGGCTCTACTTCTCTACTCTCTAAATGGGCCAGCGCAGCAAGTACTGGATAATACTTAACAGGACACAAGTGAGGCAAGTGCCTTGAAGCTACATTCGATGAACCAATGAGACAAATGCGACAAATATAGCAATGAACATCAATGCGACAAATGAAACAATCAAAACACACCAGACACATAGGCAAGCAAAATAAACTACGGCAACCGCTGGCAACACTATCCGCAACACCACTTGACTTCAATCAAAGGCACACAACAAATCATAGGTTTAGATGTTTCCAATATTGCTTCAGATTATGCTTCAGACTAAGCTAGCCCCCCCAAAACAAAAACAAAAAAAGAAAGAAAAAGTAAATCGTTTTGGAGGAGGACCAAAAGTCAGCGGATTCTCCCAACTTCCCGCGCCTGCAGCCCACGCTGCGCCGCACAAAGTCCTCTAGGCTCATGGCCTGCGGAGCCATAGGCCAGGGCTCCCTCGGAGGTTTCTCAACTAGGTCGTCCAGTAGAGAGGTTAGAATAAGGCTACCAACTTTTTTCGGTTTGTCTATTTTAGTAGGGGAACCCCCTCAAAAAAGGGGTTAAAAAGGGCACTACTGGGAGACCTAGTCAAAATGCTGGACCACTTGTCGGGTGGTTTTAAAGGGACACCAAAAGGAAACGAACCACTTTGAGAAACACACATATGTCCAACCTGATTCACATCCATTTGGTTTCGCTCTTTTCGAGCATTTGCAGCAATTGCCAAAAGGGGGGAACGGGGAAGTATAGGGAGTTTTGGCCAGGTGATAGTGGATGACATTCCCATTCCTTTGGTAGGGGACTGCGGAATTTTGCCGTCTACTTTCGCCCAGCAACCGAGTTGCTTGGTGGATACTTTCAAAAACCACCTGCTGTTCAAGGGTTCCTTTAAATCAGTTGGTAAAAGTGACTATCTGTTAAGGGAACATTGCAAACCCCTACTACATGTGTGACTGTCGCCGCCCCGTTGTCATCCAAGATCTCCCCGGGCTCAAGGGGGTGGGGTAGGGGACGTCTTCTTCAATATGCTGCCTCACTTCTGCCCTGTGCGCGGAAACGCGGCATGGGCGGAGAAGGCTGTTTCTCTTGATGTTTTCCCCTTCGGCTGCCAAAAAGCAAATCAAACCAACATGCAATTGCACTAAAGTGGGTGCCTCAATGATAAAGGCCCCGCCCCCTGCCAAACAATTTTTCCTATAGAGAAGCCGGGTCAAATTTCCCAAGTTTAGTATTATTGGTTTAGTACTGGTTTTGTATGGCTTAGTATTGGCTTAGTATTGCATTGATTGTCTTCCGTCCTCCTCTCTGCCTAGTACTGGTTTTGATTTGTCCGAATATTCCTTTGAGCTGGCCCAGTCCTGTTTAGAATTGGTTTAGTATTGGTTTAGTATTGCTTCGTGCAGCCTTGGTACTGGCTTTGCCCTAGTACTAGCTCAGTATTGGTTTGTATTGGTTGGTATTGGTTTAGCATTGATTTAGTAGTTGTTTGTTTTTTTGGCCTGGAAAAAGTTTGCACAATTGGGTACCCTTGTTCATTTCCACTATTGGGAATTTGGGGGCCCTGCATTACCCCCTTGGGCATTTTCGGCTGGGAACGTCTACATAGAGGACATTCAAGACAATCGGCAGTTTGCGGCATGGGTATGCGATTCTTTTTAAAATTATCAGTACACAGAAGAAGTAAGTACTGGACAAGAGAGAGGGGTACCTACTTTCTAGCAGGGCCGGGGGGGGGGGACTATTGGGTGCCCTTTTCTCTTTCCACTTTTTGGGGGTTGGGGGAGCCATGTGCTACCTTCCTGGACATTTGTCGGCGGGGCACGACTACACAAAGGATTGAAAGGAAATCTGCTATGGTTTGCAGAAGCGCTCTGAATTTACTACTGCTCAGAATTTCCAAGTGCTGGGCAAGAAGAGAGAGGGGGGGCTTTTTGACTTGGCTCGCTCCTGCAGCCAGGGTTTGGTGGTGGTGGTGGTGGTGGTGGTGGTGGTGGTGGTGGTGGTGGTGGCGGTGGCATGGGGTGTCGCTGTGGGTGGGCGAAGATCGGAACTTGTCAGAGCAAACAACAACTTTATCGCACTCGGTGCTCTTTCATTAATCCCAAACATACACTTCTACATGCCGGCGCCTTCGGCAGCGCAAGCGCGATTCCTGGCAAGCTGAATCAATGAGCAAATTGGCGTCTGCTTTTGAGGGTACCCTCTTTGGGTTGAGGGGGTGCACCAACCACGCTTGAAGGTACGCCCCCCTGTCTTTGGGTTGATGCTCTAAAGGGAAGCTAAAAGAAAAACTGTTGTTTCGGTTGTTTCTGGCGGCACCCCGATATTGACTCATATGCTACTAGAATGGATTTCGCAAAGCAAGCACTGAAGAAAGCGCCTTTCGAAAAGAACACCGCCAGCTGGTCCTTTCTGAACACTTCATGTTAAAATCTCCAGGATGCCACTAAAACAAAGAAACAATATACTTGACAAACCTTATCCAATTCACACACACACTTGAAATGAATAATTCAAGGAACCTTCATCCACTTTTGTGAGGTCCCTCAAGTTTCTTGGTAGAATGGACACCCCGCCAAAGTAAGCCCAGGTAGCAGCCCCGGGATTGACAAACCAGCATTTCAGCTGAAGGCAACCAATTCATTATAACCCATCGAGTTTGTGGCAAACAAAAACATCACCCAGGATTGACAAACCGCATAACCGCAGCTCCAGTTTCGTTGCGTCCGCCCTTCAGTGGTCCGAATGCCCGAAGGATCCGCCAGCCGGCCGGCTGACCCCTCCTCGCCTCGTGCTGCCAGCGCAAGCCCCAGGCCCCAGGCGCCCCTTCAAGTTGCACCGGCCGGTGGTTGTGGGGGGGAGGTCCTTGCTATGGCGGTATATCTTTTACACGTACCAAAGTCATCACAACTATTGACAAGAAAGTTCATCACAACTCTTGGCCCCAGATGTGTATATATATATATATATACATATTAATATGCAAATGTGTTGAAGTTGTGTAGCTTAGGACTTAGGGGAGCTCTTGTTTCTGGCATTTGCCTTCCGCTTGTCCATTGTCGCGCTCCTGGTGGATGTATTTGATATACGCTTTGGGCGAGTGAAACCCTTGGAGACCCTCGGGTTGCGGCGGGTCGGTGGCACTAGTTTCATCGTTGGTGTGATGTTTGTCACATGCGGCCGGCCATTCGGGTCCTCGGGCTTCATGGGAGGTATGCTTTGCCAGCGTGGGATTTTCATGGAGGCCTTGGGGCACAATTTGACACTCCAAGTGGGGCTAGAGCTGCTTGCTCGGGCCAGCAGGGGTCTATTTGCACAGAAGTTGTGATAGCTTGGCATCCAGATTCAGCAATACAAATGATAACCTAATCCTGTACTTCTTAGGGCTTCGAAATTGCAAAATAACGTGTACATACACTCAAAACTGAAGTGCGACAACTGCTAGTGTACTACTTGTGTTCAGAAATAGCATCATCCACTTCAACTAAGTGGTAACAACTTTGTCCCTTGTTGCCAAGGGGGTGTATCTGTTTCGTGCAGCTACCTTGCGTGTGGGGGTCCCATGTACTGACTGCCGTGATCTGGCGCGACAAAGCGACACCACCTTCTGCCTGCGGCGGGTCAGCCGCATACGCCGCGAATTGCCATGGGATCCGCCACTTGGAGTGGCGGCCGAGTGACCCTGAAAGCAAAGGGGAGAGTGACCTGAGTGAAGGGCCAGAAAAATATCACAAACTTCCCGGTTGTCCAATTGGAGAGTATATATGCAGGCGCACAGAGGATTTTTCAGTGCCCAACCTGGCAAACTCGAAAAGGTCGGCTGCCCAGTAGCGAAAAACCAGCTTCGCGGTAGGCAACTGCGCGATGCAAATATCCTCTGTGACTCTTTGGCCAGCCTTACTAGCACACGAAAGCGGACCCACAGCCGAACATGAGAAATGGAGCTCCTTGAACCTCCCGATCGAGCTCACTATGGTCCGTGCAAATGCATGCCGCCTAGCGTGCCAGTCGGTGTCAACCTCCTTGTTTTGAAGGAACCCTCCGTCAATTTGACTTAGCACACAGACCAATCATCGCTGGTTCTACTGGGGAACGCTGATCTGTGCACTCAGGTCAAAAGCATCCATAGGCAAGGTCTGTGCGGCACGGGGTGAAGTTGCAATGGTGAAATCACATGGATACTTAATTGGTTTCCGGAAAGCCTGTTGTGTTTTGCGTTTTGGGATTTGTGCCCAGTCGATTTCGAATAAGTTGCTCCCCAGAGAAAAACACACACGCACACCAAAACAAACAAGCGCGCGCATTGGTGGCCTTTCAGCCCGGGCGCCCTCGCTGAAATCGGTTCAAATGAGAAAGAATCGACAGTGATTTCACTACGGGGAGATTTGTGGAACAAATAAACGGGTCCCATCCTCAAACCCAAAGCCTTTTGAACCTGGACACGCCCAAACACAGCCCTCTGCTCAAGGCATCGCCAGCAGTACCAACGTCTCACACTTTTCGATTCGCAAAGTCGGCGTGAAAAGTTGATTGGCTTGGACAGCCAAAGGCCCTTGCGCAGCCGATCTTGTGCCCAGGGAAATAGAACAAGTGTATCTGGCACGAAAGGTAAGACGTTCTTTGGACCTGATACCATTCCAACGTCGAAAAATGATTATCGCCAGGTGGGGGGGAAGGGGGGTGTGGCGGGGTGGGGGCGGTGTGGGGTGAGGGGGAGGGAGGTCAAAAATTGCAGGCCATGTTGCAATTTTCAGCTCTCATGCAAATATCACGTAATACCCCATCCCCCCCCTCACCCTGCCCCGTCTCAAACCTAGCAAAATAAGCTGCGACACGCCAACTAAAACATAACCTCTCTCCGCCAAACAATGCTACACGGCAATCCTAGGGGTGGGAGGTCGCGCAAAGCATTGGCATTTCCAAGGTGTTGGTTGGGTTTGTTAAAGGTTCCCCCCCCCCGCCCCGACAAGGAATCGGGAAGGTGGGGGTCCCTGCATTGGCATTTCTAGGGGCCCTCTAGCATTGGCATGTCCAAGGTTTTCGTTGGGTTTGTTCAGGTGCCCCCGAACATTGCAACTTCAATCCAGTGATTCCGCTAGCGAAACCATTTTGGTTGAAACCAAACTGAACTGTGCACCCTCAACCCATAATACAGCAGGACAACCGGGGTTGGTACCCCTGTCCAACTACGTGGTTGCAATTCACCCCCCCAAACAAACAACTGCAACAGTAACGGGAAACTGCATGGCATATGTCCTCGTGTCTCCCCAGATTGCAATTATTAACAAGGGCGATGGCTGATTAACGGGGGCCCGCTGTAGAACAAATGTCTTTTCAAGCCTGGAAGGACACCAGCCGTTCACTGATCTCCGGGTCAAGATTTTACTACGAGCGGATATGTTCACAACTCACATTACCTTCCCAGGCTGACCCAAAACCATCGGTGATACACGTGAAGCCCTCATTCCCCATGCGGCCGAGGTGCTGACTCCGCTAAAAAGACGAGAGGTGTTGCATGTATCTAACAGCACCAAGCGCTCAATTGCAAAGATCAATATGAGACCAACCCCCGAGACTAAAGGTCCCCCCCCAATATAGTAAAACATGTTTTTTTTCAAAACTCCAGCTGGCCCAATACTAAATTAGAGTAGACCGGTTCTAAATCAATGCCCAACCAGCGATTTCTCCAACCGACCTCTCCTCCGTCTTATTAGCGGACCTACACATGACCGGCCTACACAGAAGTGGAAAGTACGGTAGTTGTCGGCCCAAATCTGGAACAGGGACCATTAATAATAACAAATATTTCTCATAAGTGTGTTTGATTAGGAAGGGGGGCGTGTTTGAATTCTTGGGGGGATGATAGTGTTGCTATTGAGCCGCCATGGCAAATGGTTTCTGTACAAAACAAAATTCTAACAACGATTGGCATGGCCAGCCGTTTACCATCTACTGCCCTTCGTAGAGAGGCCACCTTACGCAGCTTGACCAACCATGCAGCAAGAGTCACCCTTGAACATCGCACATGCATCTGACAGGTCAACTGAGTTGTGCTCATTGCCTGACTGCCATGATCCTGCAAAGTGCAACGACGCGACACAATCGTGTTCAATGACATCACCTGGATTGTTGCAGCGGATTCTCCACACGACAAAACCTGCCATGGTTTAGCACAACGATTGCATGGCGGGAGACTCCGCCCGCAAAGCTCAAACAACGCTCCCTTGATGCAACTGCAGTGGAAATCCTAAGGTCTTCCGGGCCCAAGCTCGGCTCGCCGCAGGGGCTCTGCAAGTCGCGCTGGCCGAATGCTGGCCGAGTTTCGCGACCCGGCGAGCACGCGCGAAAGCTGCTGGCTGAGAACAGCTCAAAGTCTCAAAGGCCGCCACAAAGCTCAGGTGAACAGCGCCCCCCTTGCCAGGGATCCTTACATTTTTGCACCTAAACATTGCCTTGTAAATGGTGGTTTCCCTTTATTTTAGGGGAAAGAGCCATGTTTCAACTGGTTGCAAAATGTATCTTTTAAGGAGCCCTGCTTGGTTCGTTGGATTTCGGGGACCCCAAAGCAAGGGAGGATGACCAGCAGTTCCCAATGTGATGGGATGCCAATGCCCACCGGAGCTTTGTCCCGCGGCAAGAAAGCCCTGGGCCTATGGTCGAACCGATGCACGGAGGCTCTCTGCGGTGCCCTCGCTGCCACAAATCCCGCGGTTCGGGGCTGACGGTCTGAGGCCTGGTGGCTTGCAGAGGTTTGCAGAGCTCATTGTAGGTCAAAGACGTAAACCACAAGGCCCCAGAGCACCACCCCAAGTACTGAAAACTGAAACAAGACGCACAACTCTCCACGGCCGCATTTCTGGTGCTCTGCCAAAAGTGAACCCGGAATTCCTAGGCACACAAGAGCAAGGGTGTCGGAGGTGTCTGGCTTCACGCACGCTGCCGCGCCTTTACCTTGACGAGACGTACGAGGCTCAAGGCTGATGAATGTCCAGTGATGCCAGATTGCACGTACCCAAAGTGTGTCAAAGCCAGGGTTGCTCGCATGACTCATGCTGCTGTTTCAGTCATTCTGAGCCACCTTGATCGGTCAACCACAAACCTCTCTGACCAAAATGGCGGCGGGGCGCGCCTTCGAAATGCTGCCATTCCCGACACCCACAGTCGGAGCCATTCCTTCGGCAAACACGTTGATTCGCACACGGGTTACACTTGTTCGCGACCCAGCGCTGAATTGACATATTCTGAAACATCAGGCTCGGCATGCGCTTGACTCACATGGAAACATCACCACCCGTCACTTTGTCCGGTGCACGGTTTGGACGCGATGCTTGTGGATCCACCCCTGCAAAGGTGCTGAAAGAGTGGCAAGCATGTCAGACAGGCGAAACGCGCCAAAAGCGAATCCAAACCGTTGCCTTGACTCTTGCTGTAGTCTGTGAGTCTCACCATGCAATCCCGAGGAAATTCAGAGCACGCGGCCGGCCTTGGCCAGCGAAAGTTGCAGCACCAGCGCAGGGCAAACATCGGGCGTGGGCCGAGTGACAGGGCCCGCGATAGGATCAGCACGCACAAGGGCGTGGTTCAAGACTCGTTCTGCCGGTTCTCATACTGCCACGGCCT